AGAACAGCAGGTTGCATGGTGCCGAAGAACTCTTAAGCAAAGTTGACTGGACTATATATATATATATATATATATGCTAACGAGAATGTAATATGAAATCTTCTATTACCATCAGTTGATTGCTTTCCGTATGATTTGTAATATTAAATTCTTTTGATTCTCATCAGTTTGATTTTTATTTTTTCTCTTCATGTGGTTTACAATATTAGATCAAACGGCACTTTGCATTTGGCGCCTGCTGGTGTTGGACGAAATTAAGGATGGATTTGAGGCTACCATAACTCACCATTTTTAGAAAATCAAAATGACCAAATGGTAATTAATCAATTTTAGTTCTATATGGTTTTCCAATTATAAAGGCTTTTGATTTATGGTTGGAATTTTTCACTTGTTCAATCTGCTTTTCTTAGCTAAGAAAGTTGTAAAGCTAAATCCATTTATTGCTTCGTCCTAATTCCAAAAATTGATGGCAAATTCCAAATTACTATCTTGTACTTTGGGTGCCATTTTAGTCCCTGAATTTTAAAACGCAAATTCCAAATTACTATCAGCTGTTAAGTGGCATTTGAAAAATAAACAAATGCCCTTTGAGTGTCATCTAATTTTCTTTATCATCCATCCAAATTTTGATAAAAAATGAATAATCTCAAATCCTCATCTCTTTTGTTCAAAAAAGTTAGGGTCACCAGAGTGGTTGATAAAAGGATTTGCATTTTGACTCAACTCTAACTGAATTAGCTCAGCCCCACTTGTAGATATTGATACATTTCACCCACCTGCATTTTGGCTCAACTTTAACTGAAGTTGGTTGGCACAATTATTGAGTTTTGATATCTCTCTCTCTCTCTCATACCATAAAAATGATCGAATCATCCTGTATGATGTAGAGGCTTTGCATCTCCATACTATTTTTTAGGCTGCATTTGGTTGTAATGCAAATCTTGATGTGAGTGCAAAATTTGTACCTGATATGGTTTTGTTGTTGTTTGTTTGAAATTATGATTTGCACTCCTATCCTGCCTACAAAATTTATATTTGTCTCTTTTTCACTCATTGGCAGTGCAAATTTCAAATCCCAAAAATCTATACAAAAATTTTACCACCTTCCATCTATTCCTACCTCAATTCTTTCTCATATAAAAATGGAAACCACAGCATCTTGCACCCTACCTTATTCCTAGTCAAATAAGGCAGTTAAATTTGAAGTAAAAGTAAATCAGAATGTACATTCAGCGCTTTTGCACTCCCATGCATTTATAAATGAAATCTGTACTCTAACCAAATGCAACCTTAACAAATGCTTATATGCAAAACTTTCAAAGGTCAATGGATTGGCCAATTGCACTAAATTGAAAGCCTCTCAAACCATATACAATCTACCTACATTTAGAGACTCAAGGAGAAAGAAAAGATAAAACTTACAAAGGCCAATGGATTGGCCAATTGCACTAAATTGAAAGCCTCTTAAAGCATATACGATCTACTTACATTTAGACTAAGGAGAAAAAATATTAGCATTTGCAATTTAAGCTTAGTGAGCCTGGCTTATATCTAGCCATGTGAAGGAACTGAATAGAGTGGAATGGCATAACAGGTGGATGTAGTCGATTCCATATAATTGAGATAAGTTGATAAGGCATAACGGGTTCGGCTATGGCCCTGTTTAATGATTTCACAAGTACTTTTTAGAAGTTCTTATTTTAACAACTACTTAAGGCTGTTTAGTAACCCACTTTTCAAATCATTTATTATGTTTTTAAGCACTTATTGGGGTGTAAATGTTTAGTAAGCTACTTTTCCCATAAGTGCTATATTGACACAAATGACAATTTTAGCCCTCACTTCACTCATACATATATACAATGGTTTTCACATGTTATAATATACATTTCAACTACAGCCCACATGGGTTACCATATGGATCCAATTAATAATAATAATAATAATAATAATAATAATAATAATAATAATAATAATAATAATAATAATAATAATAATAATAATAATAATAACTAATCATAATAGGGAAAGACGACAGAGAACAAATCTCCAAGTTGACGGAAGACGTTGACGAGTCCAGCCATGGCGATGCCTTTAAGTAGCGCTTCGGGATCATCTTTATCGGCAACTTTGTACAACTCTGGATTGGTGATGCTGTACTCGTTTCTTATCTGGTACCTTGTAATGGGCATTTCGTCTAAGTATCACAAGCTGACAATGCGATGAATCCTGATTGAAACTGGTGGAAATGGCGATGCTGTACTTGACAGCTCTCCCAACGACAGTTAATTTCATCGCTACATTTCCACCATTAACCGCTGCTGGGAGCAGTTGTAGGGGAGAGAGAGAAATATGGGAAAGATTGGGAGAGGAACTTACAAAGAGGGGCCAAGATTTGGCGACTAGAAAAAAAGAAAGAAGAAAGGTTTCCAACGACAAAGTTGGTCGGTAGGGAGGTGAGGTAGATGAAGGGACAGAGCAAGGAAGGGAGGGGCAGAAGGAAGATGACGAAGTTGAAGCCGTGAATCGTCAAATTGGGGAGTGGGGACAAGTCAAGGAAGAAGATGATGAACAATGCTTTTTGGGCGTGGGGGTATTTTGGAAGAAATACTTCAAAAAAACCAACTTGAAGTCACTTTTTCAAAGAAGAAGAAATACTTCTCCACTTTTTTACCAAATACCCATAAGTATTTAAAAAATACTTAATGTGTGGTCCCATGTCTTAAAAGAAGTACTTCTTTTAAGTGTTCTCAAACAGGGCCTATGATATAGAAAACATATGATATAAGAAAAACAACTTACCAATAAACTAGAATCATAAACGTGATAATGGCTTAGGTGTTATTTATCAAAATTTATGAGTGAATTTTGATTGGTCAAAACCCTTTCCATACCATATCTTTTTCGTATCATAGATTTTCCCAAGGCATAACTGATTTGAGTTTGAGTAGAATCAATCTAACCGGCTTCAGAAAAAAAAAAGAATCAACCTAATCATACCAAATCAAGTCTAATCTTCCACTATGAATTTATTAAAGGATAAAACAAAGCTGGTTAATTAATCTATTATTTTTAAACCAAAAGCTTACAACTTGCTTTACTTGGTATACAAAGTTTGTGAATAGATAAGATAATCCCATATCAAATCAAAAGGTGGTCTAATGTCAGATCAAAAAGGAAATTAACAAGAAATGGAGTCTCCATCCAAGCTAGGAGTACATGTACACATCATCATCAATTAAGCCTTGTCCCAAATATATGGGGTCGGCTTACCGATGAGTGATGACCCAATGGTTGATATGGGTGTCATTTCATCCCATGAAATCGCAGGCTCTCCCTAGTAACGTCAGTGGACTTTTGTGTGTCGTGCTCTGTCCCCTCCCTAATTTGAATAAGTTCAATTCCGATACGGTATGTTAGATTCCAATCCTCATAGATTTCTTTGACCTAAAATCCTTACTACGATGAATCCAAGAAGGCTATTCCATACATATTAAACATAAGAATTAATAAAGCAAAGTGAGCCTGGCTTGTATGTAGCCCTAGTCATGTCAAGGAGCTGAGCAGACTGGAATGATATCAGATCCAATGCCCACAAGACCGTATTCTCATCATTTTTACAGTCTTTTACAACCGTGTATTAAGAATATTTTTGTATTTGTATACTTTTTTTTAAGAGAAGATATTCTCAATGCAAGGCTGGAAAGGCATATGTACCAAATCTGATTTCGACTGGAATGGCAAAAAAAATGGCTACAGCTGATGCTGTTATAATAGAAACAAGGCAGAGTTAGATTTGAGTAGCAAGCCATCAACCTAATCATATCAAATCAACTCTAATCATCTGGTATGAATTCATTAAATGCTAAACAAAGCTACTTAATCTATTACTTTCAAACTAAAAAGCTTACAACGTGTTAAACTTTTCATTTTGAATAAGGTTTGTATGAATGGATGTGATAATCCCATTATCAAATCAAAGGGTGGTCTAATGTCCGATCAAGAAGGAAATTTAATAAGACATCATTGTCATCATCCCCCCCTTTAAGCCTTATCTCAACTATATACTAGACCTCTTCATGGGTTATGCTAAGCCGGGTTCATGACAGGCTTTTAGCTATTAATAAAACATGTCGAGGTTCAAGCCCGAGCCCAGTCTTAATTCTTGAGTCTTAACCCAGCCTTCAAAAAATTGGGTAAGAAGATTTTTTTTTAATTTTTATTTAGCAATAAAACTGATTTGTTTATATTAAATGACCTTAAATTAAAAAATACTAAAAAATCTCATTAAGCTCGAACTGGGCTTTTTTGAGAAAACCTAAACATAAAATCATGGGCCTAAAATCTAGTCCAAGCCGAACTACAAACAATCAGCCCATCAATCTACCAGTAGGGTTGCAACTTTTGTGGATTAAGGTTAAGATTTTGTCAAGATTTCAATAGATTCAACCTAAAACCGATCAATCCAACTTGCGTCCCTATCTATCAGGCCCATGAACAAGTCTAACAATGACCCAATAGTAAAATCAGTTGGCGGAGGCATGGATCAAACCTGCTCTCCATCTCCATGGAAGTGTCATTGGACCTCACGTGTATCCTGCTCTACCCCAGCAGCCAGCAGTGTGTATCATGAAATATCGCGACCCGCAGACTCTTCCATCTTTACCCACACAAAACACTACCGCGGTGTATTGGAAACATGTCTAATGAAAATGTGTGACAAGTTAATATTCCCAAAAGCGCACCTATAAACAATGTTGCGTGGATAGGTTTTACGGGAAGAAATTGTGGACCAGAGATCCGAGCTCGGGTCGGCTAACCCTAATTTGAATAAAATTATTCAATTCAGACAAAAGCAATCTTCCGATCTCATCTAAAGCCCTTGCTCTGACAAACCGAGGATTTCTTTCAGTTCTTCCAATCCCATACTCTGAACGAACTCAGATAAGTGAAATATTGGGTGTTTTGCACTCTCTCTCTCTCTCTCTCTCTACAGTGCATCTTGATGGTGTATTTTAATCAATGTTTATTGGTGAAGCTTATACAGAGGCCAAAGGACTGGCCAATTACACTCTCAACAGGTCTCATCTCAAGTCTGAAAAGCAAAGCAGTAAAAAGAGGAAGCGAATTAAATTGAAAGGCTTATAATAAATATCAAGCATAGATAATCTGAGTGCTGGACGGGACAAAGTCATGAAACGCCTTGGGAGCCCTCACCAGCTCCCAATCCACCCACACTCTCTCCCCATCCTCGCCCACCCTCCCCACCGCCACATCCAGCCCACGCGCCACCACATAAATCGTCCCCTCTGCCCCGCTCACCGCAAATGGCCTCTGCACCATCTCGCACGGAAACTTCCCCCCATCCACATACCTCCACGTGTCGCTATCCGGTACGTACATCTTCACTCGACAGTCCCCGTGCTCCGATATTACAAACAGCCTCTCCCCCAGCACCACGCTGATCCCCGTCCATCCTTCCCTCATCCCCACGCTCATCTCCTCCCACGTGTCCTTCTCCGCGTCGTAGACCCCACCTCTCGGCGAGAAGCTGAACGGCCAGGTCCACCCCTCCGTCACATACATCTTGTTCCCCACCACTGCCGCGTCGTACCTTGCCAACCCCGCGCGCATTTTAGCCACCGGCGCCCACGTGTCCTTCTCCGGATCGTAGCATTCCACCGTCGAGATCGTGTCCTCCGACCCCGCCCCACTCCCGCCGACGGCCAGGATCTTTCCTCCGATAGTGCCGGCGGCGAAGAACGACCGCGCCGTCAACATTGGAGAGGCCAACGACCACCGGTTCGTGGACGTTCGGTACGTCAACAGCGTCTGGAGGGATGTTTCCGTGTCGGACCGCATCCCGCCGAGCACGTACAGCGCGCCCTGCCGTGGGAGAGACGCGCAGGCGAAGCCTGGTGGGCATACGGGCTTTACGCAGGGCATGGGTGGTAAGACGAACCAACGGCCTGATCGTGGGTCCAGGACCTGCCATTGAATGTCGGCCGTCGATTTGTGGAAGGCGAAGACGAAGATGTAGGGCAAGGATAGCGAGAGGGTCTTCTTCGATAGAACAAAGTTGGGGTTGGTGATGGCTCTGTTCCAAGAGGAAGATACAGAACGGACCAGCGTGTGATAGGGGTAGGGCAGGTGGAGGAGGCAGTGCTCGGCGATCTCGTCGGGTAACCCAGGAATCAACGGTTCTGAATTCTCTTGATCCTTTTCAGAATCTTCAACTCTGACAGGCTCTGCGCCTTCCAAGATCGTCATTCTCAAGTCCTTGTCTGCAAATTCCAAAACAGAGTCAGTGAGAGGTGAGAAGGTCCAAATTAGAATAGAAGAAGAGAAGAAAAAAGTATATAAAATGCATACTTACATACCTTCTTTGGTAGCTTGATTGAAAGCTATTGGGGGTTAATTATTTTTTTGGGAGGAATTGTTTGAAAAGCGGAAGGTGGGCTTTTGTCTTTAAAGGGTTTCTAGAACCGGATCCAAGGCGGTGAGAGCCGCAAAGAAGAACCCCTCGACGCGAATTCCGCCATTACCGAAGCACAGAGGCGGATTTGGATTAAAGAAACGATCAAATGAGGTGGGGACTGACGTAGGCGAAGCCCGAGATTAACTGGGCCTATCGAACGAAGGGAACGGATCTGAAAGTTGCTTCTTGCTTGCGGCCGTCGCGAATTCAGTATTACAGCAACGAAGACACCATTAAAGTACGGAACAAAGAGGAGCAGGAGCTTTAAAACTTAAAAGCTTTAAAGGGTTTCTTGGGCGAGCTCAATCGTGGTAACTGGTGCCCTTTTCTGGGTTTATCGAAGGCGAGAAGGATTTATAGCCAAGTGGGGAATGGTGACTGGTGAAGGGTGGATTGGTCACGTCAAGGTATCAGATCAGTTCGGCACAGGAAATAATGGGGTAATGGTGGTAGTTACATCAGAACCGATTCAGTAAACTAAGGTTAAAAACTGAGAAAAAGAGAAGAGAAAGCTAAAGATACCATTAAAGCTGGTGGGCCCAAGAAATCATTCAATTAGGAATGATCTGGACCATCAGATCTATAGATAAATCAGGTTATGTCGGTCCCACCATGTGGTCCAGTCCAAGGCTGCAGCCTGCAAGAACTGAAGCCGCATGAGGTCGGTTATCATTGATTGTTTACAAACTGGAGTTGCCCAAGGTTTTTAAGATGCATGATCTGGGGTCCAGGCTAGTGGAGCCAAGGCCTAAGCCCCTGCGGACAGTGACACGTGGTGATCCATGCGGGGTGTCTGGATGTGGGCCCCGACTGAGAAGTGTTTGCCGATGGGGATAGTGATGGATGATCCAGACCGTCCACCTGTTGGACTTGCTTGGGTTAGAGGACAAGCGTGATATTGTTCCGACCGAACGGTTACGATCGTTGGAACAGAATGAGACGTGCCGGTGAATGGTGATACCGATCTACGGACATGTCTCACACGTTGAAATGAAACGTCAACTGACGACACTCATGTCCCGGGTACGAACTTCGGGTTCGGGTTTCACACTTTGACTGGGTTAAATTGTAAATTGCCACGTGTAAGTGTCAAGATGTACCTGGTTTGTCATCTGCTACTACCCTTGTAAGTTGTTGCCCAATCAAATATGTACAACACTATCCATGAGAATGAAAAAGCAGATCACGTGATGTTTTGATTTTTTTTTATTTTTTTTCATGACTCATGACTGACGTTTCGATATTTCTCCGAGGGGTTTGAAAGGGAGTGCCGGTCGCAGCAGACACCAGTTATTTGGAGTTTGGTTTTTATTACAAGGTTCAATGCATTGTATTGTGTCGTAGTGTTGTATCGTACAATATGTTATGTATGGGTTCATTAATGTCTAAACTGTGGGTTGTGGAGAGTTTATGGCAGCTTTCCCTTTGCCACCTCCCAATGAAATACGGATAAGTGAGTGATGGAAATAAATTCTATCATGCATGAGCTGTTTTCGCTGGCGTGTGCTTCTTTTGTTGGGGCCCGGGGTTGCATGGGAGATGCAATGGGAATCTCTACGACTACTCTGTGTGTGATGTGAAGGGAATCTCTACAATATTGTATGGGTATGGGTTACACTTACATGCATGAGTTGTTTTTGAGGGAATCTCACAATGTCTACCGTAGTTATGTGTGTTATATATTTATTCTTCGGAGATTCCTAATACATGGTATGATTTGCTGTGAGTTCGGTCCATGGTGCATTACGAGAGAAGTAGATCTTGATTCATTCTCTCTACAAGTAAAAATCATATTTGGATTTTAGTTACAAAAATTAAAAGAGAAGCTTTGTACTTAAAGATAATCACTTTTAAAACATAAGATGATTGTGTTTATTGTTAGATTGCAAGTAAATTTGTTCCACTATACAATAAAGCATTGGGTGAGAAACTACAACCATCAAAGTTGAAAGATCTTTAGGGAAGCCTTTTATGAGACAAGTAACTTAGATCGAGAAAGACAAGGGTATTTTATGTTGTGAACTTGTATGCAAAATTGCTTGACTTACATCCTTTTATAGATTCTGGAGAGTCACCATAAAAAGGAATGTGTCATGTGTGGTGTGTTGTTATGTATATGGGCCATAAGCACTTGGCCCATGTTCATTCGTTAGTGGCTCTTTACGCACACTATGGCTGAATGCACATTATTGCCATGGTGCCCTAAAGATAATTGGATGATCTCCCTTTCCAATGAGGCCTCATATTAGTTTCCTCCCCAAGAGGAACAGTGCAGAACCCTAACCGTTTTGGGCCCATTTGAATCTGACTTTAAGGAAGTCAGTGGGAGTTACTTTGGTTTGACCTAAATTAAAATCTAGGGACGTAACAACTTGTTCCCTTCAAATATATATAAGTGCATGTGATAGGGAGATTTATATGATGAACTCTTTAAAGGCCTTCCGTCATTAGCATGAACATGGACTTATCAGTAATGAGGATATGCACCATAAAATTGGGCTATCCATTTGCTGGTGAGTTTGTTTGATTACTTCATAAGATGATAGGGGCGTCATAGACCGATGTGGGAGGGGCTTATCCTAAAATGGAGGACTCTCTCACTGTACATTGGTGTTCACGAATATGACGGGTCTACACTTACTGGATAGAAATGTTTAACCTAAAATGGCAATGAACATTGTCTGACAGAGGCCAAAGGGAAAACTCATAAGATGAGTGGATATGATCCTTCACAGAAAGTGGTGGGCCTTTGCAGCTGAAACAGTTGGCTCCATGCACCGTATGTGATTTCCTACATTTCTAGAGACATAACCGCGTCTCTGCACTGAGATGGGAGGGAAATCTCATAGATGAAGAAATGGAAAGGGAACATAGATTAAAAGTCTTTTTTTATATAAATAACATGAATCAATTTAGGTTGTGGACTAATAATTTGCATTGCCTTTTACAAAAAATGGCAAACGGACAATTCGCCAAACTATTGGACGATAATAAGCTTAAGGGCCCAAATTATGCTAATTGGTTCTACAACCTTATGTTGGTGCTGACGTCCGAGAAATTGGATAAGGTAGCCAAAAACCCTGCATCGGAACATCCAGGTGATAAGGCTTCTGAGACCCGTAGGAGGGAATATCAAGAATGGGAGGCGAATAACTCTCTTGCCTGGTGTTACATTATAGCCTCCTTAGATAATCTGATACAGAGATAGTTCAATAAGATCGAAGTGTCCAAGGATACCATGTTTAGTCTAAGGACCATGTATGAAGAACATAATCGTTCTACTCGATAGAAGGTCATAAATTTGTTTATGACCACACAAATGACTGAAAACCAACAGGTTCATAACCATTGTCTAAAGATGATGGGATACATTAATGAACTGGAGGCTCTCAGATCTGGGCTAGATGATGATACCAAAATTGATGTCGTCCTAAACTCTTTGCCTCCTTCCTTTAATCAGTTTATCATGAACTATAACATGAATAAGATAAATGTTAGTTTTCAGGAACTCAACAATATGTTGCAGAGGACTGAAGAACTAATTAAGAAGGATAGGCCGATTGCCATGCATGTTGAAAGTGGCAAATCAGACAAGAAAAGTATAAGGCAAAGAAGAAGCCTTAGAAAAATGTTGGTAATCTTAAAAAGTAAAAGGACAAGACATCAGATGCCTGTCATTTCTGCAAGCAGGGCGATCACTGGAAGAGGAATTGTCCTCAATATCTAGAGACCAAGAAGCAAGGTAATTTTGAATCCTTTTTCATAGAAACCATTTTGTTGGTTACTTCCGCATCCTAGTGTATTGACTCCGGGGCTTCTACTTATGCATGTAACACATTGTAGGGGTTCAAGACAAGCAGAATGCTGAGTGACGGAGAAGTGACCCTTTACTTGGGGATTTCTACAATAGTTGTAGTTACAGTTATAGGGACTGTAAATTTGTATTTCAGAGAAGGAATCACTACTCTTAAAGATTGTCTTTATGTACCTAATTTGAGAAGAAATTTAATTTCTATTTCAAAATTATGTATGGATGGTTATTCTATTTTATTCAGTATGGAGAACTTGAGAACATAGATCTTGTGACTTATACAGAATCTATGTTGGACATAGATTCCTTGAAGTGGATAGATGCCATGAAAGCCGATATGGACTCAATGGAGACCAACAAGGTCTAGACTCTTGTAGACCCACCCCTAGGGTAAAAGCTATTGGTTGCAAATGGATCTACAAGAGGAAGAAGGGCCCTGATGGTAAGATTGAGACCTATAAAGCTTGTCTTATGGCGAAAGGGTACAGTCAGAAAGAGGGAATTGACTATGAGGAAACCTTTTCATCAGTGGCCATGCTCAAGTCCATTAGGATCCTGTTAACTGTAGCAGCACACCATGATTACAAGATTTGGCAAATGGATGTCAAAACTGCATTCCTGAACGGAGATCTTATTGAAGATATCTACATGCAGCAACCGCAAGGATTCATTGCTGCAGGTTAGGAAGACATGGTGTGTAAACTCAATCGATCCATATATGGACTTAACCATGCTTCTAGGAGCTGGAACATCCGGTTTCATTCTACCGTCAAACAGTTTGACTTTGAGCAGAATCTGGATGAACCCTGTGTTTATAAGAAGACAATGAAAGAAAATGCTACATTCCTGGTTCTGTATGTAGATGACATTCTAGTTATTGGGAATGATGTAAGAATATTAACTACGGTGAAAGTGTGGCTTTCACAATAATTCTCCATGAAAGATCTTGGAGAAGCCTCCTACATCTTGGGACTTTGACTCTATAGAGATAGATCGAAGAGGATAATAGGATTATCCCGATCTACTTACATTGACAAAATTGTCAAGAGATATAGCATGGAGAACTCCAAGAAGGAAATGTTCCTTTCAGGCATGGAGTCACTCTCTCCAAGGGAATGTCTCCCAAGACTCCTGAGGAGATTGAGGGCATGAGAGAGGTTCCCTTTGCCTCAGCCGTAGGGAGCATTATGTATGCCATGCTATGCACTCGGCCTGACATTGCTCAGGCAGTGAGTGTGGTAAGTAGATATCAATCAAACCTAGGACTGGAGCACTAGACAACTGTGAAAAACATACTTAAATACCTTTTTAAGACAAAAGAGTTTTGTCTGGTATTCGATAGTAGTTCACTATAGATCCAAGGGTATACTGATGCTGACAGACCTAGATGATAGAAAGTCTACATCTGGTTACATCTTCACAATGGGGCCCTGTACAGTTAGCTGGAAAAGCAGCAAACAGGGGTCCACTACAGATTCCACAACCGAGGTCGAGTACATTGCCGCAAGTGACGCTGCCAAGGAAGCTATTTGGATGAAAATGTTCACTCAAGAATTAGGATTTCTTCTATCCAGCTCATCACCCATTCCACTGTTGTGTGACAACACTGGAGCCATTGCTTAGGCTAAAGAGCCCCGAGCCCACTCGAA